CAATATTAAATAGTATATTCTGGAAAAATTGCAGAGATACAGGAGTTCAGATTTTGAAGTCATAATGGCTAAGCAAGAATAATTATACCTTAAAGCAGAGCTTTTCAACCTTTTCACCCATTGTACCACTTTTAGGATATAGCAACATCCGAGTACCACCAGTCGCCTAGCAAGGTGTCAAAAACTTGATGACCCCCCCAAAAAGAGGAAAAAGTGATAAAGTACAGATAGTCCTCGACTTACAACAGTTCGCTTACTGACTGTTCGAAGTTACAATGGCACTGGAAAAAGTGCCCCCCAAGCCACAGCCAAGCAAGACACCTGCCTGCCCACCTGGTGGCGCTCTTCCTCCTGTCCGAGGTTTTCATTGTTGTGAGCATTTCTGTTGAGGATTGGCAGCGGGGTGAGGGGGGCTTTGGTTTTTATTCCCCCCGTCTGCTGGGTGGTTGCAGCAGGTTTTGGTCACTTCACATGACCCTGGGACACTGTGACCATCATAAATATGAATCAGTTGCCAAGCATCTGAATATAAATCACAAGACCCTGGAGATGCTGCAACATTCCAGCTGATCGGCGCTTCTTCTGGGCTCAGCAGAAGCGCCAGGATCAGTGCTGCTTTCCAGCTGATTGGTGCTTCTTCGGGGCTCAGCAGAAGCGCCAGGATCAGCACCGAACTCCAGCTCCATCCATCTCTCGCTCAGGCCTGTGCGGTGTTGCTCATTCCCCTCCCCCGCTACTTTTCTAGGATGGTCATGTACCACCTGCCAGGTGCCAATGTACCACAGGTGGTACCCGTACCACTGGTTGAAAAGCCCTGCCTTAAAGAGTAGGCAGAATGTAGTAGAAAAAACTTATTATATCAATAAGTACGACAAGTTAAAAAAATACTGGATCTGACTGGACATATTAATAGCATATTTTGGGATTAAAAAAGCAGTAATTAAAAAAGCCTTCATTTATCAAAAGTCAAACAATTATTATAGAAGCTGCTTCTGTATTTAAGGGAGGCTAAAACAGATGAAGAACGGTTGCAGGAATTGGGTATGTCTAGTCTAGTGAAAAAATGATTAGGGGTGACATGATAACAGTGTTCTAATATTTGAGGGACTCCTACAAAGACAAGGGGGTCAAACTATTTTCCAAGGGACCAAAAAGCAAGACAAGAAACAATGGATGGAAACTAATCAAGGAGAGAAGCAGCCTAGAACTAAGGAGAAATTTTCTAATGGTGAGAACAATCTAGTGGAATGGCTTGCCTTCAGAAATTGTGGTTGCCTCCTCACTGGAGACTTCCAAGAAGAGCCAGGACAGTCATTTGTCTGAAATGGTATAGGGCAGTGGTGGCGAACCTATGGCACGTGTGCCAGAGGCGGCACTCAGAGCCCTCTCTGTGGGCACGTGCGCCATTGCCCCAGTCCTAGGCCTTCAGCTGGGTTTTATAAAACCTTTTTGCTTTAGGCTGCCACCGTCGTGTGCAAAAGAAAAAAAAAGGTTCAATCAGTCAATTTTAACTTCTTGCGGGAAAAAAAAGATCTTGCAAAGTTGGAATTGATGGATTGAACTTTTTAGTCCCACCCAGTCTGCCGTTACCACCGCAGCCACGCCCACCCAATGGGCCACACCACCCAATTGGCCACACCCACCCGGCAACCGACGATGCATAAGTGGGTTTGGGGTTGCAGTTTGGGCACTTGGTCTCTAAAAGGTTCGCCATCACTGGTATAGGGTCTCCTGCTTGTGCAGGGGGTTGGACTAGAAGACCTCCCAGGTCCCTTCCAACTCTGTTATTCTATGAATAATTATACCAAAGAGTGGGCAACTTGTATAGAAATAACCAGTGCTTTTTTTGNCCGACGATGCATAAGTGGGTTTGGGGTTGCAGTTTGGGCACTTGGTCTCTAAAAGGTTCGCCATCACTGGTATAGGGTCTCCTGCTTGTGCAGGGGGTTGGACTAGAAGACCTCCCAGGTCCCTTCCAACTCTGTTATTCTATGAATAATTATACCAAAGAGTGGGCAACTTGTATAGAAATAACCAGTGCTTTTTTTGTAAAAAAAAAAAAAAAAAAAAAAAGGTGCTGGAACTCACACTCGTCATACAACCCGCCTTTCCTATCCTACAAGGTTCCATCCAAAAAAGGTGTCAGAACTCCGTTCTGGGTGTTCTATGACAAAAAAAAGCCCTGGAAACAACTTATATCAATAAGTATAACAAGTTAAAAATATTGGATCTGACTGGAAGTATTAATGGCATGGAAAATTCTGTTAAATAGTTTTCAATAAGCAAATCTTCCACTCTCAGACAGCTGAAAATCTGTATGCATACCAAGTGGTCTTTCTGCATGCAGATAAAACTCTAGGGTACGTGTTTGAATGGATGGTAGGTTGCTTTATAAGTGTACCTTTTAAAAATATTGAAAGCAAAACGGGTTGTTCAGCATAATTCCTACCTTTACTTTGATCACAGAAGAAAACATTCTAGCGTCTTCAGAGACACCTCCTATATAAATCTTTTTTGTGAAGATAGGAGCATGATCGTTTTCATCCTGAATCTCAATGAATATCTTTGCAGTATTGCCTAAAAGTAAAAACAAGGGGTTAGCAAAATTAAAATACACTGAATGCCTTAAATCATAAGCCTGTCCCTTCTAGATTCTGTTACAAAAGCTGTAAATAAAATTGCTGCATATTTACATTTTTTAGGAACCATAAATAACTAGTTCATGTTTTTGTTCTAAAGTTGCTGAAGAAACTAAGTTTATATTTTGCTGCCTCCATGGCACTTAAACAAAACTGCTTTCTCCCCCCCCCAAAAAATCAATACAAGAATTTGAAAACTCTACAATGAAAGTCAAACTCGACTGTCCTGCCTAGCATAGAAATATTGAGTATGGGTATGTCAAGAGTTTTGTTTTTCCTTAAGGGCTGCTAATAATTTTTAAAATTTTAATCTTTGTTTTCAATTATTCTTCTTTTCCATTCTTCAGGTAATTCCAAATACAGGTCCCAGCAATTAATTAATAGCATTAAATTCTTGGTCCTAAAGGCTGAAAGAGATGCTTTTTAAAAAAGATTGCTTGTCACCATTATTAATAAATGATATTCTGTGCAAGATTTGTCATCAATTTTGCTTGTTACTTCCAATTCTATTCTATTATCCCTGGGATATTGGTTATATAGGTTTTGAATGGCATACTACTACTACTACTACTACTACTACTACTACTACTACTACTACTAATAATAATAATAATAATAATAATAATAATAATAATAATAGTAATAAAGTGGAAGGAACCTTGGAGGTCATATAGTCCAACCCCCTGCTCAGGCAGGAAACCCTATACCATTTCAGACAAATGGCTGTCCAGTTTCTTCTTAAAAACTTCCAGTGATGGAGCATTCATAACTTCTGCAGGCAGGTTGTTCCACTGATTAATTGTTCTAATTGTCAGAAAATTTCTCCTTAGTTCTAGGTTGCTTCTCTCTTTGGTCAGTTTCCATCCATTGCTTCTTGTCCTGCCCTCAGGCGCTTTAGAAAATAGCTTGACTCCCTCTTCTTTGTGGCAGCCCCTGAGATATTGGAACACTGCTCTCATGTCACCCCTCGTCCTTCTCTTCATTAAACTAGACATACACAATTCCAGCAACCATTCCTTATATGTTTTAGCCTCCAGTCCCCATCAGTTCAGCAACATTTGAAGACATTGTCTTCTTTCCTACATAGATGCTTCATTTTCTCTCTATCCAGCCTTTGACCAGATCCAACCTATTTCCAAACCAGTCATCTGTTGATGGCTTCTCCACACTAAATCTCCTCCCATTCCCAAGGTATTGTGCTGATGACTGGTGAGAGCAACAGACAGAATCCTGAGCCTCATTACACAATTTCCTTCCAATCTGTTGGTTTGGAAAGAGTACCAAATATAAATATTAGAAATAAAAAACCAAGCACAACCAAGCAAAAAATCAAAAGCACTCATATCTCTTTTCAGACTTTCTAATAAAACAAATTGGCACATTCTGGAAAACAGTGCAAAGTCAGTTTGCTGGAGGAAATCTCATTTGGAAGCAAGAAATTATATCTTTGCACAATTGATTCTTTTCCATGACACCTAGTTATGGCTATTTCAAAGAGCCATATGTGGGATAGGTTTATACATAATTGCCACTCTTATTATGTTGGATTATTTGTTTTTTTAGCACTGTGCTGAAAAAAGAGTTCTAAAGCTATAACTAGAATTGAAGCATGCCACTTTTAATATTGGCACTGAAATCAACAATATGTTTTCAAAATATATTGATAAAGTATAGGTTTACTGCTGAAATATGACATCAAAACATTATATGTTTTGGAGAAAGTCCACATACTGCTGAAAGAGTGCATTATATTATTATATTACATTACATTACATTACATTACATTACATTACATTACATTACAATACTATACTATACTATACTATACTATACTATACTGTACTGTACTATACTATACTATACTATACTATACTATACTATTATATTATATTATATTATATTATATTATATTATTATATTATATTATATTATATTATATTATATTATATTATATTATATTATATTATATTATATTATATTATATTATATTATATTATATTATATTATATTAATTATTATATTATATTATATTATATTATTATATTATATATTATTTTTATTTTTATTTTTATTTTTATTATATTATTTTTATTTTAAACATAATCCTGTATTTTTTAATTTTTACAAGGCCCACTATTTGGCTTCATAGCCTCTTCTCAATGCAACTTTTGATTGTTTTAAAAAAAATACAAAATGCAACTCTTGGCCACCCAAAGGTTTCAACAAACAGTTGAAAACAAAGAGAGAAAGAAGAATATGGACCAATATTTTTGCAACTATTAAGACAATAAAAAAATTGGATATGGAAGACTTTATAGAAATTACTGCCGCCTATGCTGCAGAAACAAACAAACAAAAAAAAGTATTGCTTGGATTTGACAAAGATTGTTTTACAAGCTGCACTGCATTTTCATGATGTGGTAACCAAGAACTGGTAGTTTACAGCAACACTGAAAATAGCAATGCCTGGATTTTATGCGGGTTTTTGCATTGCAGTTTATATATGTCATTCATCACCTCATTAATTAAAAGATTCAATCCACAATTATGGGTGGATGGGTGGGTGGCATATGATAGCACATCTGTAATGCTAGACATTATTTTGCAAGTATACAATTGCAGAATTTGAAATAAGACCTTATTGTACAATTAAATCAATTGGAGAATAAAGAGCAGCTTTAGGGAAAGGCTGGTGCAATCCCACTTTACCATACAGAAATGCCTATTCTGAAGGGACACTATAAAGAAAATATTTAAAAATAGAAATTTAGACCAGCTACTTTTAAACTTAATAAATCTATATAAGATGTAGGTTTTTAGTTCTAGTTTCAACATTTTAGCTAGAAATTACTGCATGCCTGTAGCTTAGTTCTGAAATGACAGCACTCATAAAATGTTAGCAGTGACAGACTAATAGAAGCAGAAAGGTTAAGTTAAATGTTTTCTGGAAAATATAAATTTTCACAAGCTATATGTACTGTGAATTAAGATTTCTTTAATATTTCAATAATACTTCAAGCTCAGAGAATTTTTCAGGGAATGGAATGCATTCCTAAGCATGTTTCCAAAATAACCACTGTGTGTACCAACATTGTTTGACTAAGCTATTGAAAGAAAGTTGACAGAATAGTTTTATTGATATTTCTGAAGACATGTATTATATCCCACTTCATAGGCAGGATCCCCCAAAATACCAAGTGGAAATGTCTATGGAGATTCTCAATCATCCAGGTCATGGTTGTCCCAAAGGTGCTTTTTCAAAAGGCAACTGGACTTTGTTCTTCCTTAAAGATGTTTTACTTCTTATCCAAGAATCTCCTTCAGTTGTGACTAAAGTTCTGACTCAGAACTGGAAAAGCTTCTTGGATGAGAAGCGAATTGTCTTCAAGAAAAAACAAAGTCCAGTTGCTTTTTGAAAAAGCACCTTTGGGACTACCAAGTGGAGATTAGTACTATGTTTTCCCGAAAATAAGACCTGGTCTTATATTTTTTTGCCTCCAAAAGAGGCACTAGGTCTTATTTTCGGGGGATGTCTTATTTCCCCCAACACCTGTCTCACCACTTGTTCTGCGGCTGCTTTTGGCTGCTCGCAGCAGGACATCACATGGTGCATTGCATCGGGGCTGCTGCCACGAGGTGAGGCAGGGAGGAGGGGGATCTGCCCCATGCCCCACGCACCCACTTACCATGCTGCAGATCTCCTGTAGCCATACCTCCCATGCCCCGACACATGTCACACCTCGCCATGGTGCCACCAACAGTCCTGTTAAGAAGCCTGGCTGCTGCCCTTTTTCTGCAGCCACTTTTGGCTTCTTACGGCAGCACAGTGCCACTGCCATGAGGCTTGATGGGGAGGGGATCTGCTGCATGTGTCCTGCTTACCATGCTGCAGGTGTCCTGTAGCCAGGCCTCCCATGCCCCAACACATGTCATGGCGGTGGCAACAGCCCCATCAAGGAGCCTGGCCGCTGCCCCACTTCTTCTGTGGCTGCTTTCGGCCACTCATGGCAGGACGGTGCTGCTGCGATGAGGCTTGGCAGGTGTGGGGGAATGAAGCAATTCACTCAGTTCCCAAGTGCCCCAACACTTTTCCCATGAACAGAGATCTGGTGGAGACTGGAAGCTCCGTCTGCTTGCGAATGGGGTGTCCATCATTGGAGGAAATGTGTCTGGGCACCTGTGGGGTGCTTGGGAACGAAGTGATCTGCTCAATTTCCAAGTGCCCCATAGGCACCCAAACACTTCCCCCTGCATCTGCCTCCGAGCTTAGACTTAGACTTAGACTTAGACTTACTGCTCTGTGCCAAGGGGCCAGCTTGTGCTGTCCACACTTACCCCCGGGCTTATTTTTGGGGTAGGCCCATCCCCCCCAAAATTAGGCTAGGACTAATTTTCAGAGTGGGTCTTTGTTGTGTCCTGAGCCTGCAAAAGCAGGCTCGGGACGTTGCAAGAGTCCCGGGCATTTGCAAAAGCTGCCTGGGACCAGACTGAGTGGCGCCGGCCTTGCGCGCATGCGCAAGATGGGAAAAGACCGCCTTGTGATTGGTTGGAAATGCCCGGGAATCAGAAGGTATAAATAGAGGCCTGCGTGCCTCTGCTCGGGTTGTTCGTAGTTTGGAAGCAGAGAATAAAGACTTGTTAGAAATGCTTCGTCTCAAGCGCCATTATTCTCCGGACTTAACACTGGCGACGAGGGTGGGATTCAGTCTATACAGCTAGGGAAGCTTGAAGACTCACCCAAAAGAAGTCCGGAAGAGGAAAACGGCGTGGAAGTCAGCGTTTATCCTGCCAGTACGAAATCGCTGGAGGGTGCGTGCGGCTGAAGAAGACTCTGATCCTCGATCATGGCGAAAGTTGGGCGTTTAGCGGAATTTGATGTCTCTCACCCCGAGAGGTGGGAATCATACGTTGCAAGAATCGAGACTTACTTCTGCGTAA